AACGTTATTGACTATTTTAAAAAGGGGCGGGGCTGCTTGATATGTCCCGCCCTGTCTTCCTGTTTCAGTTAAAATGCCGTCAACACAGAGCGTAACGCTGCGTGTTTCTAAGCATTTCAGGGGACCTTTAAGGGAGCACTGAACTGCATTGTGGGAGACGGTATCTCAGTTTGATTCACAAACCTGTTGTCCACATGGCTGATCTCCTCGCTCCCATCTTCCTCCTCCTCCTCCTCCTCCTCGTCTGGACACAAGCGTTTGGTCACAGGGATGAATGTGATCTGCTTCTCTCCTCCGAGCCGGTCGGGAAGCACCACCTCTTTCTTCATGTTCATGTCAGAATACGGGCAACCGAAGGCACTGAGGGACACAGAGAGATGAGCATGAGCCTGTCTGATCCAGGTCTACAGTAATACTCTCATCTGTTCTTAGTCTCTTTGTGCAAAACATTTAATTGCTGCTTTACAAAACGGATAGTTCCGGTGCTTGATTCTGATTGGCTGAGCCACGTTCGAAGCTGTTGTAAATTACTCTACAAAGTAACACACCTTTGTTTACATTTGTGTGTTGCTTGGCAACCACTTTGTTGCAACCACAACGGATTCCGAGGAGCTACATTGTTTGGTGGAACAATACTGTTTTTATTAATATCATTACACTTTATTTGCTCTGTTTTATTTTGTGAAACCGTACTGCGTATATGGAATAACCGTTTTACATTTTTTGGTGGAAGAATACTGTTTTTATTAATATCATTACACTTTATTTGCTCTGTTTTATTTTGTGAAACCCTGCTACGTATATGGAATAACCGTGAATTTATAACAGCTTAAAGGGGTTTTAGGCACTCCGCGTCAACAACGCCCCTTAGCTGTTATAAATTCACTGTAAACCACGGCTTCACGGGGATTAGCTTTAGAGTACCGTGAACAAAAATCATCCGGCTACATAAAAACTGGACTCGATTAAGAGCTGTTTGTGTGCAAAATAGAGCGGCATGATTCTGGATAAACTGAGACTTTTTATTTATGGAGGTTGTAGTTCTCTCACAATTAAAGAAAAAACATTAGACGACTAAACAAAACCTCATGGAATTTATGAATGGAATGATTCAATGACTCACTCAAGATTCACTCGTTTCATTACTGGATGAATCAGTGTTTTTGAATGAAACTCTTGAATAATATAAATATAAAAACCTATAAAAATGTATAAAATATAAAAACATTTGCGAAAGCAACATTTCTCATTTTCATTTTTTACTTTTATTTTTCATTTAACTGTATGTGCTAAAATAACTAAAACTGAAATAAAAATTCATAAAAACTATACAGGCACATTAAAAACAAATGACAAATACACAAAACAAAATAACAAACATTTAACAAATGAAAATAAAAAAATAATATATTTTTTATTAAAATAATAAAAATAATAATAGGACATCTAGTATAAATAACAGTATCTCAATGATACTAAAAGAGTTACATTTGTTTACTGCAATCCAGTGTTATTTTAGTATTGAGATAATATTTTTTTTATTAATACATTTTCCTTTTCCATTTTAATTTTAGTAATTTTCTTGCGTTTTTGTCTTTTTTTTATTTTTTATAAATGTGTATATAGTTATTATATTTTATTTCAGTTTTAGTTATTTTAGTTAACTAAATGAAAATGAGAAAAGTTTATTTAATTACTTTATTTCAGTCAACATTTTTTCATGTCACAATAAAAATAAAAAAATAAAAAAAAAAGTATTAATTTTTGTTTCAGTTTTACTTTTAGTTAAATACAATAACCATGCTGCAATAAAATGTTTTTAAAAAAAATCATGCAACCGAAAATTTTATCATATTAAAAGTTCAATCCTCATCCAAATATATGTACAGTAGTTACTAGAAGAGGAATATGCTTGAGGCGAATATGTTTATGTAAGACAGATTTCAGATTCCTGCTGCTTCTACAGTAATTCTCATCAAGTCAGCAATACGAGGAGGAGGATTTTGTGGCATATTTTCTGATATTTTAGTAAGGCAAAAACGCCAATTCCACACCGGTGTGCCAAGATGTTTATGCAGATCTGTGCATGCAAACAGATTCAAAGACTTCAGTGTGAACACAAGAGAAGCAGTTTCTGCCACGTCTTACAGTTCATTACAGCTGACGAAGCACATGCATTTAATTCAACACATTTCACATATGTTAACAAGAGTATTCCAGCCATCCCCCACACCTGAACCCTCAGAGGTCTACGGTGCAGTTAAATGAGTCTGAGATAACGATTTAACACATGTAGTTCTGTATAAGAGAGCTCCACACATTCACACAAATACAGCATGTGTGCAGAGAATCCTGAACTCCAGATTAAACCTCACAGTGCAGAGGGCACCATTCTTATTTAATGCAAGGACTGAGAGAAATGTATTTTACTTTAAATGCAATGGAAAGTAAAATACATAGTAAAATGATTCTCTGTGTGTATGTGCTGTACATGTGGAAGAATTGACAATAAAGCAGACTTGACTTGACTTGACTTGAAGTTCTTTGGATTAAATTGCATTGAAAAGAGTAATGTAAAATGTGCTGGTCACTCTTTTCAATGCAATTACAACAAATAATAACAGCAAATGCGGCATAAAATAACAGTAGTGCATATGATTTGTGCACTATATTACAAATCTTTTGAAGTATTTGAGTGAGAAATAGAAATGTTGCATTATATTTAGTGCTGTCGAACGATTAATCGCATGCAAAATAAAAGTTTTTGCTTACATAATATATGTGTGTGCATTGTGTATATTTATTATGCATATATACTGTAAATACACACACATGCATGTATATATTTAAGAAAAATTTTATGCTTCTATATTAAATATATATATATAAATTATATGCATGTAAATATTTTCACATGCATAGTGTCTATATATATACATAATATATATACACAGTTCACACACATATATTATGTAAACACACACACACACACACACACTCATTACTTTAGACTGCAATTAGAATTGCATAAATAATGCTATGATATAAAAAGAAACTGAATACTGAAATATGAAATAACAACTTTACATGTTTCTCATCCTACACTATAACACATAATAAGTTCATTTATAATAAAGCATAACTGATGAAGCTCCAGCAGACGAGGCAGGAGAAGATTATGAAGTTGCTTTGATGACTCATTTTAATGTGTTAAATTAACGATGTAGTTTACTGTACGTCTCATATAAACCGATACTGAGCGTCAAACTCATTTAACTCTGGAGGACGTTCATTAAAATCCACGAACACGGAAACGCTCTGGTATTGTTCACCTGTCTGCCGGATCGCACCGTGACACTACGCTTCTGCTTAAATAGCTCGTTTGCATATGCAAATACATGTAAATGAGCTTTTAATGAAAGCCAGTCCAGTCGGTTTCTAAGCAGAGAGGATTTCGCTGCTTTAAAACGCTTCTTTTCTTATTCTGTCTTGCTCTGTGTAATCAGAAGTGGCTTTCTAAAAAAAAAGCAGAATCCTTTCACGAAAAAATTAGGGCAAATTTTGGGCTCGTTTATGGTTTGTTTGTGAGCAAACGCTACTGACAGAAACTCTCTCAAACTCTGAACTACAGCTGCCAAGCGATTCACATTTGCATCTAATTAATTAAATGATTTGTCAATTAATCGCACATCAATTAAGGCTAAGAAATTACCCCTTAAAAGATAATTTAAAGTCATTATTGTGTTAAATAAGAAAAGCATTGAAGTACCTTTTGAAAGAAATCCTTCAGCATTCAGCATATAACTTAATACGCATAAACGTTTAATGCTACAATTTGGCCGTAAGATTGTTTTCAGAAGCGCCATTTTGTAATATTTACACTGTTCAGACATGGCATGAATGCATTTATACCACAATTAGAATTACATAATCCTGAGATAAATGGGTTTTTAAAAAGAAATCTAAATTTTGAAATATGAAATTATTTTTTAAAAATGAAACTGTCCGTAGTGGGTGAGTCATTGAATCATTCATTCAACCAATTTGTTCAAACGGCTGATGCATTCAGAAATGAAGCAAGTGACCGTCTGCATAAAGGAATCACTGAATCATTTGATTAGTTCAGTAATGAATCACTGCTGTGTGTTGATCAGAGACGCTCAACAGTTCTGCTGTGGCTTTGATTGGAACTTTTTTTATTTTATTTGTGAAATTGACCAAAAACAGACAAACGGTCTCTAAAATGTAACACTAGATGAACATCTTATTTATTGAACTGCTGTATGAATCAATATCACATTTGCAGTGGTGCAGATACTGGGGAAGAACAGCATTTCATATGATATAATATAAGAGGGTCATTTATATATTTCTTTTTCGCTTCTGTATCTGTACTTTTTATTGTTATTTTGTCCGTGCATTACAAGCTTCTGTTACCAAGACAAACTCATTGTGTGTGTGTTTAAGCATACTTTGCAATAATTCTCATTCTCACGTTTTCACAGAATGGAAAAGTGTGATGTGAAGGCTGTTCATCCTACTGAATGAATAAAGAGTAAGTGATGAAGAATGATGGTTGAGGTGTATCTGTGCGTCTCACCTGTGGTGTCCGGTGTATTTTGCTCCTTTGATGTGGCCGATGCCCCTGCAGCCCGGGGTTGGACACACACCCTGCGTCACGGAGCTCTTCATGTCTGACAGCCCTGCGTGAGCTGCAGAAAAACACAACACATACACACACACACACACACACACACACACACACACACACACACACACACACAGAGAGTGAGCCTGGGACATCAGCCTGCAGTAGAAAGGCGTTTGTACAGCGTTACTCGTCCTCTAGTGAGCTGCAGCTATTTCAGTTCATCACACACACACACACACACACACACACAGTGACACACTCTCTCACACACACAGAGACACACACACGCTCTCTCTCACACACACACACACACACACACACACACACACACACACACACACACACTCACACACAC